GGGTGAAGGGGTCAAGGTGGGAGCGAGGGAAAAAGTCGCGGGTGGGAAGGATTTTATCTGTCCTTGACGGGGTTTTGGTGCTGGCTCTGCTTATCGGTGGTCACCCCTCACTGACGGATTGCCCTGGAGGGAGGGGGGAACTGCCCTCAACTTTTTTTTTTCTTGCGCCCCTCGTTTTTTTTTGGCCAGGCGACGCTAGAGGCAAGGGCACGGCCCCACTCTTTTCGGAGGGGTGTGGACCCATAGGCGACACAGGCTGCACCACATTGGAGGGGGAGGGGCAGAGCGAGAAAATTTCAGTAGTAGCAGCAGGTAGCAACAGCAACAGCGGCAGTAACGCCCTGATGTGCCAGTTCGCTGCTTCTCTGCCTGCACAACAGCCAAACCCCGCCGCCCCTTCTCTCGGCCCAGCGACCCAATGGCCCAATGACCCTTGGCCGAATCACGCTTATCGGCGTTATCGTGAGACGCTAGTCTGTTTGAGGCTTCTTGAACAAGGCGGTGAGAGCCGTTTGGATGTTGTACCTGCACGAAATTTCCAAGGCGTTTGGCCATTTTCCCACCAGCCTGTGGCCCTCGCCAACAGGCTTGCCTCTCGGCTTTGCACCTCCACACACATGCCTTTCGATCAAGCAAGAGAGCGTGTCCTGGGATTGGGATGTAGCAAGGACCGAAATCGAGAGCCGGACACCGTTGGCTACCCAACACCGAAACGGGGCCATTCCTCCGGGGATCTCTGGAAGCGCGCAACCAGGCTTGCAGGTTTTCCGATGCATGAGCATTCTACTCTGCTGCCCCTCCCGCGCAGCACCTCCCTAGCCCCCAGGTCCCCCTCCAGGCCCCGCCGAGTGCCCCTCCAAGGTTTCGCTTCAGCCCTTCAAACCTCGAGAGCGCCATCCAAACGGAGCATGTACTGTCCAACCGCCTGCGATCTTCGCTGCAGGACCCTGCGGTTCATGTCAATCTCTTGATTGAGTATCATGCGAGCGCCTCGACTGGCATCAGAACGGTCTACAGCTCTATTGTTTCTGTCGTGAAGTTCGGTGCGCCAAAAAAAAACTTGGATTTGCGAAAAGATCACCCCAGCATCGTGCTTCGGTTGTCGAGACACTGAAGCTTTTTATATAGTGCTCCACACAGAACCACATGCCTTCAAGCCATGTCAGCGTCGTGAGACTGTGCAACATACACACTCCCCTGCTCCAACCTGTGACCGAATACATGACCCATTCCATACCCTGCCAACTGGGCAAGCTGGGGAAGCCACGCCACAGTG